TGCGTGCGGGTGGCGGGCGGGCGCGGCTGGCGGGCGCGGCCGGGGCTGCAGTGCTGCCGCCCGCGCTTGTTTTGAAGCGGTGCTGTGGGCGTATAGGAAAAGTAGTTTTTGCTTACCTTAGTACGACGCTCTAATTTCTACTGCAGTTCAGCCCACGTGAACACACTGAAAGGTTTATTGGGAAAATGGGGGCTTAGCTCACCCGATTTTAAAGCGGTTTTGAAAAGCAGCCTAGTCAGTGACCGGCATTAGTGCTTTCTGACGTGTGCGGTGTCTGAGAATCCTTCAAGTTCCTCTGTTATACCCGCATCCGTTCTGTTGCTGTTGTGCTGCTCAGAGCACACCTCAGAGATCAGCCTTCTGCGTTTGCACAGTGAGCAGAGACTGCTGTGGGAATAGGAAATTGGCTTAATGTTCTATGAGTAAGCAATAATTTTAAGAACACGTTTCTCTTCTGAGGCGTAGTTAAAAACAAAAAGCAAGTCCAACTGTTACCCACACATTTGATTTAAAAATAAATCATTTACATTTTTTTTATTTATTAGGCCTTGGAACTGCTTTTCATCTGAAAGTAAGAGAAAATTCTGGTAACCATTCCTGCCGGAATGTGAAACTTGATCATTACTGACCAGGGTTCAGGAGTTCAGCGCTGCCTCTGCTGGACCCGGCCTGGCTCCTGCAGAGCTGCTGCAGCACAGCCTCCTTTGGCTGCGGGCAGTGCCAGGCCTATGCTGGCCCTGCATGTTTGAAGTCAGCGTGTTTGACTGTGGAAGGGAGGGAACTATTAGCCAGCATCATTTGCTGCTAGTTTAACTCCTTGAACCGATGTAAGCAAACTAAATTTTGTTAGCTGGCACCCTTAGAACTGCAGTGCAGGATTGGGGGCAGCTTACGTTGAGGTTGCTGTGTTTTGTGTCCTGTCTCTTTGAAAGTGCAGAGCTAGGGCTGGGATAGGAAAGCTGCTTTCTGAGTGGCTGCCAGTCTCCCCAGCTGACTGCCCCACATATTGGGTGACTCCAGATCAGATTGCTTCCACATACAGTGGAATAGTGTCTGAATATTTCCTGCATGGCCCTTAGTCCTGTGGAAGTTAAAACTGCAGGAACAGACATCAGGAAGCTTTGTTTGCCACTTTACTTTCATCTAAGTGAGGAAAGGGCAGCTGCTTCAGGGTTTCTGTGCTCTTTGTTCTGTATTAGGTGAGAAAAAGAGGACAGAGCAGGTGAATCTAAAATAGAACTACTTGCAGTATCTGGCAGAAATACTCAAAATTCCTGTAGCATGCTGTATTTTTGTCTTCTAGGGAAACGTGATCTAGCTGGTGACCTGCAGGTCAAGTCCAACCTGCGGGGCACTTGTTAACTGTTACCTTCTTTTTGGAGGAAACCAAGAGGGGTTTCCACTGCGTATGCTGCCATAGTAACTGAATGCTTTCTGTTGTGTATAGTATGTGCTTGCGTGTCTGAGGCACTTTGTGTTGGTGCAAAGGAGAAACAAAGCCATTCTTCTGCTCTATACGTGTGCAATATTAAAAAATACTTAAATATTAAAATCCATGATTATCTCTTGAGTTATATTATCGAATTGACCAGTGCTTAAAAACATGTTTGTGTGTGACTCCGAAAATTACATGCAGGTTCCCATAAGTAAAAGTAGTGTATAAAAGAATGGTAGCAGGAAGTGGGTAGCAGTTGTGAAGAGAGATGTAGAGGCCAAAGAAATGAAAATTGTGAATGATTTCCTTAAAAGGAGCTGCTGACATCTGAAAAACAAAGTCCTGTAATTAGGGTTTGGCTGTGTGCTTGCTCTGCTCTTAATGTGCCTGAGTGCCTTGGCACAGACCTGCTGCTTGTATCTGCAAAATGGAGAAGGCTTTTTTTCAGCAGAAGTTAAGAAAATATGGGCAATAGAACTTGTTGGGCAGCTTAGAGTCCTTCTGATCTCTTTCAGATGGATATGTCATTCTCATTCACTGTTTGAAATTTGGGGGGAGTTGTTATTTAATGTTCAAAGGCTGAAGTGGACAACAAAACTAGAGATTTTTATCTTTTGAAATTCATTTTAAAGTTAAATTTTTTCCTCTGTCAAGCATATTCTTAAGATGGAATCTTGAGCATCAGATTGAGTCTTTTTCTTGTTTACTTTTAGATGCCTGCCTTAGATGTCAAGCTGAAAACAAACAAGAAGATTGTGTTGGTATGTAGTGATTTCATTCGCTTGTTTTTAAATTGAAGCCTCTCTCAATAGGGTGCATTTCCATGTTTGAAGGGAATACTGGGTTTGTTAATGCTCAGAATCAAAGTGCTGTTTTGTTATACAGTGTCATCTCTTTACGTTAGTAATATTTTACAGTTAATTTTTTGAGCTCTACTAAATTAGTGTTAGTGCCAGGCATGCTGTGTGGAGCAGGACGCTTTCACGTTTCAGTGTCAGTGTGCACACAGCCATGAGGTTTGGGTTCTCATCCTGGCTGTAACTGAGTAGAGGATAAATGCCTTTGAAGTGGGCGAAGGAGTGGCTCCTTTTTCCTTCTGGGATGTGCCAGAGGGGGCGATGCAATATCCAGAGAATTCTATTCTCAAATCAATTCTTGACTGTTTTAAAGGTGATATTTTTCTCAGTGTTGATTCAGACACAGTTGATTCAGACACTATTGCTTGGTTTTTTTTTCAGTTTTCATTTGAAAAAACGTAATCACTTGAGTTTGCTATAATGCTGTTTAATCATGAACATACTTTACACTGCTTGCCAGCATATGCAAAAGCAAATTGTATCTCAATTCCAATATATTTAAATCGGAAACAGTGAAAATTGTCTCATGTTGTTTTCTTTAGATCTTTAAGTCAACTCCTAAGCTGGTGGTAAAGCCTTCCATGCCCTTGTTCTTTCTGCTTTGAAGCGTATTGTCTCAAAGTTAATTCACTGTTGTTTCTGATGATTGTTTTAACCAGAACAAGAATTTCCTGTTTCAGATGCCTTGCTAAGTGTCTTCCTAAGTGTCCTGTTTAAAATAGGGGAAAACAACACATAAATTACAGCGCTCCTTTGGTTGGTACTCTTATATTTCATTAAGGAAAATGTGAGGTAGTAAGGGAAAAAACAGAGCAACTAATATTTTTGAGTACATGGGCAGTACATAACCGTTTTGTTGCATTGAAGACATTGTAGCCCCAACAACTGATTTATTTTGCCAGTGTAGCTGTTTTGAGGCTCTACGCAGTGTCAAATGCTCTTCCTTGATTTCACAGTTTAAATGCAGCATTTCAGATTTGGTAGCATTCTCTTGTATGATAGTAAGACAGTACCAGTAGTGCATTGGTGATCTTTTCAAACGTGACAGTCAAAATGAAGTGCTTACCCAGAGCAGAATTGCTACTCAGATCTGTTCCAGACACTTTATGCAGGACGGTGAGAATACACATGTGAGAGGCTGTGTGACAGAGAACTGAGAAGTGTTGCCAGGATGACTGCAATCATCCAGTGATGACACATTTTGTCTTTTTAAAGGTATTATAAGTTTGCAGTGGTCTTAAACATCTGAGAAAAATAGCTTGGACCTTGCTGTGAGTGTTGATCTCTGGACAGCTGAGCATGACTAGAACGTGTTCTTTCTTCTCTTTCAGTGGTTTGGGGAGAATGCAATCATTCCTTCCACAATTGCTGCATGTCGTTGTGGGTGAAACAGAATAATCGTTGTCCCCTCTGCCAGCAGGACTGGGTAGTCCAGAGAATAGGCAAATGAAAACACCCGAAGTTTTCTGTTGGACTTGTTGGAGTTCTGTATATTTTATGCCACACGCTCATACAGAAGAGTGGAACGTCTCAGTCGTGGCATGATGTGTTCAGCTTATCTGCTACAGGGAACAGTGTGGTTTTGCTGTGTGCTCTTTGCTGTACTGGGAGGCAGTGGTGAGTCTTATTGCAGGTATTTCCACAACTGAGGAAAGAGAGGCACTGCATTAATAAATGTGTCTGCTAAGATTTGAGTGTTAACTATATCAAGAGCATAGAAATGTGGTGGTGCAGATTATACACCAAATACAGTTCATGTAATGTTTCTACTTAGAGCAATGAGTCAGTTTGAAAAGGAGACCTTTCTATTAAATCTGATATGCTGTATAATTTGGTGTCTGATAAATTATTTTGGTTTTGGATAAATACATCGTTGTCTAAGTAATACTGTATACAAAAACACGTTAAGTGTTTTAGCAAGTATTTTGTTTTTTAATCTAAAATGAGCAGTGTGTGGGCAACACTAGCATTCTCATGTAGGCTTTCTTTATGGCTTAAGAAAATTAGTTGCATCTCTGAAGTCTGTTGCTATTAATATTCTACACGTTTTCTGCATTTGTGCTTACTAAAATTTAACCACATCTATGATTTAAATTCATGTTTCTTTTAAAGTTCATGGACACAAGTACTTTTAATCCAGAAATTTTTGGTACGAAGACACACATTGGATATCAGTTTAGTTGTGGTGTAAACCATGTTGCTGGTTAGCTGTCTAGTATGGAAAACAAAAACAACCATTTTAATGTCCCGAGGAAAGCAGGTACCAATTAAATATAGGAATATAATGTTAAATTGTGCTTTCATCAGAATTCATGTACAGAAATTTCTTCATTGACATTTTATTGGATTACATGTTTGGTTTGGGATGTAAGAGAAAGTATTGTTTCACTGCTGTGGAAATCCTCAATATATCATTTTTTTTAATAGGGTCAGTCCTGTGTGTATTGAAGTGCTTTACTCTCAATATCTGAAGTAATTACTATTAATCTGAACATATGTTTTGTTGGTTTTTTTAATATATGTATGCAACAGAGATTGAGTTACTAAGTCTGTAACAATTTCAGACTTAATAAAATGGTTAATAAACTCGGGTGGAATTGAAGTGATATTATATGCATGTTCTTTTTTACTTAAATTGAGATTGATTAATAATATTTAAGATTAATTCATTTCTCAGTGGATGTGTTTCTGTTTAGTTCTGTTTAAGTATATTTAAAGAGAATGATCTCCATTGCATAAAGTACTTCCAATGGCAGTCTTTGATTTTTGTCATCACGCTTCCATGCAGAGTTTATTGGGGTTTTGTTTAATGGTTGTAATCTTGTTTTTAAAATGTTTTTTATGTTTTAAATACGGCTTTTGTGTTACTGTCAGTGTATCACACTCATGGTTACCATCTCAGGAGATGTCTTTCTTAACATTTAAGTAACAGTAGGGTTGTTGTGGAGTGTTTGGGCTTCATCTTTTCTATTTCTCTGAAGACATTCTTCCTAAGATAATACCTTCTTACATATGGAAATCATTTACTACTTATTCTTCTCTGCCAGAATTTGGTCACAGGTTCCATCCACTAAAATGTCTTCACTTTTTTTTTCTAATCCCACCAGAGAAGTTTTTCCTTCATTTTACTTGGGTTTATGGGTCCGTATGGACAACAGCAGAGTAATTTTCACCCTGCTTTCTGTTCTCATGTCACATACGGGTCACTAAGAGCTGAGAATCATAACTGCAGAAGAATCTCCTTAATGCTGTTCTCCTCTGTTTAATAAATGCTGGGTAGATTTGGACAATTTCAACAAATCTAGCAGGAGTCTTCTCAGAAGTGACTGGAATAACAAATATGTGTGAAGATGATATTGTTTCACTTAGATTTTTTTTTTAAGTGACCTTGTTTACAGGAGCATTGTATGTTGTTGCAGCATACGTTCTATAGAAATCAGGAAAGATTCTAATTAATAGAGCAGAATTCTTTTTGAAGCTGTAAATGTGCCTTTCTTGTGCAGATAGCATAAACATTGTGTGTTTTCTTGTTTGCTTTGATGTGATCAATCACATGGTGGTGTAGGCTGTTACCAGCCAGTCATACAACTTATCTGAGTTTGGGCATTTTGCTAAAAACTCTGCTGAAGTTTAGGACCTGAAATTACAGGTTGTTGTTTTTTTTTTAACCTCCTTTCTTTTTGGTTCTGAGGCCATTACAAACGTGTTGCTGGGGACACCTATTTCAGAACAATCACTCACTGAATTTGATTATTGATTATTTCCTCTAATTTTTTTAGTCTTCCTTACTCTGTTAGTTGCATCATTCAGCCCTTTATGTAACCTGCTCCTGCCCCATGCACGCATACAGCTGGCAGAATTAGACATGCAAAGCAGGCAAGGGTGTCGAACACTCTGCTGTGGAGTACACAGCTTTCTCACACGTGCAGTTTGCAATGGATGATTCTTTCAATCACAAATAGAAAAGCACTCACTTCTGTAATGTCATTTTGTAGAGAATAAGCGTGAGTTACATGTCAGATGGATTCAACGCAGACAGGATTAAGTAGATAAAAGCAAATTTATACTTGTGATAGTAGAGTGACTGAAAGCAGCCAAGAAGGGCTTACCAGTTTTTGTAAGGATTTTGAGAAGTGCTTGTTGTTACTTGATGTTAAGCATCTGGGATTCAACCCTTCAACTTTCTCCAATTACAAAAGTGAAAAAAAAAAAGAAGAAGAGGAAACTCTGAGTAGTTTCTCCCCAGTTTTACTGGAAAAATCACGGAACTACTTCACCTGTAATACTTATGTCTAAAAACTGTTTTCAGAGGCCGAATCACAAGACTCCACAGCAGAAGAGGGCCTAACAGATGCCATACAGGAACTTTTTCTTTCAGATAAAGATGGGGCGCAGACTTCCTGGTGGGTAGCCCAGTGAGTGTAGTCCAGTGGATTTTGGCTTCACTTGGTTATAATCAGCTTTGTGCTTTTGTTGATGCTGCCTCAGCCATGCACTACTGCCATCTTGTCTCCTTGTCATCCTGCCACTTGTCATCATAAGACAAGCTCAGCAGGAAAGTAAAGAGAGGCCACAGTATCATATGGAATGTCTTGGCAACATTTGGCCAGTCATTTGAAGTGTGTTTTTCCTTTTTTTGTGGGTAGGAAATGAGCTCACAACTCCATGCTGCTTCATATGTAGGGATCATTATTTTTAGAGCAGCAGCAGATCTGAGCCTCTGCGTGTAATCCGCTTTCTGTTCCTTCAGATGGAGTGGCATGAGGCATCAAGGTCTGCAGGAATATCTACGGAGCTCAGAGTTGTTGCTGATGAGTAACTTGAATTTGGAAGTGAGGCAGCTCAGAGCTCTGAGTGGTATGAAAATGAGAAGCTCAGGGACTGATAGCATTCAGTATGTCAAGAGCAAGGGTGGCAAGAGGCTTCTCTTAACTGTGGCTGGTGTGCTGCTGGGTTTGGACTGTGCTGTTTATGTTACAGATGGGAATCATTGCATGTTCTCAGCAGCCAGCATCTGCCTACAGAGGGGACTGTGGCCTAACATCTGAAGTTATCAGGGTCCATTCTGAGAAACAGCAGCTGAACTGAGTCTGTTTGGTGCTGCCAGTCAGGTCTGTGTAGGGTGTCATCCTTTAGCTATAGATAGCAAACTCAAGCTCCTTACAGAGAAACCTCTTACCAGTCACTTTCCACAAATGGTGCATGTACCCAAAGGTACTTAGTGAAAATCCTTGAGAGGTATTTAATGCAAAAGCAGTTAGTCTCTCTGGTGCATTTGAGAAACGTGCACGCGCCACTAGCAGGAAGGAGTGCAGGGCAGTCGCAGCTCAGCTCTTGGGCCAGTTACTGATTTTGTCTAGCCAGGCTCTGCCACCCCAAGAGCTTGCCAAGATGTGTGACATGGGGGGGGCTCGACAACCTGATTGCCAACACAGCCTATCTGCAGGCCAGGAAGAGTGGAGAAGGAGACACCAAGGAGATGCAGAAGAGACGTAAGAGCCTCTCACTGCCCAGGATTGATCAGTGTGGAGAGGTTAGGCAGTCCATTGCTGCTGACTACGAGAGCATCTGTGAACAGCAGCCCATTGGCAAGAGATTCTTCAGAGACTTCTTAGAGACAGTTCCAGAAAATTTGGTAGCTAGGGATTTCTTGGATGAGGTGTCAAACTGGGAGTTGGCAGAGGACAACATCAAGAGCAGTACCATGGAGAATATTATCACCAACTTTCTTAAGACAGGCTCCAAAAATTATTTGTCTTTCATGAGCTCTGACTTGGTCAGCAAATGCCAGGCAGCCACTGAGAAGGACTATGAGAATGTTATACAGCTGGCTAGAGATGAAACCAAACTCTTCCTTCAAGGCAAGCCCTTCCAGGACTTCCAGACTAGCCCCTTCTATGACAAATTCCTCCAATGGAAAGTTTTTGAAAAGCAGCCAGTAACTGAGAAATACTTCTATGAGTTCCGAGTGCTGGGCAAAGGAGGCTTCGGAGAGGTAAGAGCTGTATCCTTACAAAAGTGGGTCATCTCTCCCCTTCTGAGATCAGCAAGTGGGTTTGAAAGATGAACTTGGTAATGATTTTAAACACATTCTGAAGTTTTGCAGAACTTCAGCCTCCAGGTTGTCCATTTCTCAGAAATTCACTTTATCCGTGCTCTCATATTGACTCCAGAAGCCTGTTATTGGAGAGCTGCCCTAAAAATTTTGTATTCTGCATCTGTATTACTCAAGATGCAGGCTTCTATACAAAAGCTGACGTGACTGTCTATACAGTTAATCATTAGTCTTTTTCTTGGCACTGTTTTGGCCTGCGCTAATTTGTATACTTGCAGATAATTCTTAGGTACAATTTAAAGAATATCACAGGTCAAGTTCCGTTTCCAAAAAATTCTGAATAAGATTAACTTTTCTGAGAGGGAAAAGAGATGCAAACTGTACTTACTGCTTATTATGATGGTCAGAGAATGAATTCTTCTTTGTTTTAATGAATCATACAGTTCTGTTGTTGGAGTCCTCAGATCTTTCCACAGTTGTATACTAGTTCTGAATAGAACAGATTGTATGCTTGCTTTTTCCTTACTTCCTCTACTAATATACCCATCCATGCATGTTACCACCAGTACCTACTAATAGGCATCAGTGATTCCTCAGTTCCTGCCTATTACTGGTCTTGATATTCTGATCTGTACTTGTAGCATTGCTTCTTTACTTTTCCATGTGCATCTTGTTTCCAGGTTTGTGCCATTCAGGTGAAAAATACTGGCAAGATGTATGCCTGCAAAAAACTAGATAAGAAAAGACTGAAAAAGAAAAGTGGAGAGAAGATGGCGCTACTGGAGAAAGAAATCCTGGAGAAAGTCAACAGCCCTTTCATAGTCACATTAGCTTATGCCTATGAGAGCAAAACTCATCTGTGTCTTGTCATGAGCCTCATGAATGGAGGTGATCTGAAATATCACATCTACAATGTAGGACAAAGGGGTTTAGAATTGAACAGGGTCATTTATTACTCAGCTCAGATCACCTGTGGGATTCTGCATCTTCATTCCATCAAGATCATTTACCGGGACATGAAACCGGAAAATGTCCTCCTGGATGATAACGGAAACTGCAGACTGTCTGATCTTGGATTGGCAGTGCAAGTCAAAGAGGGAAAATCCATCACTCAGAGGGTGAGTAGAAATTCATTGAACACGGGCAGAGGGAAAGCAAGCTGTTCTATTTCTAATGCGTTGAGTCCAAGACTTAATTCCCCAGGATTTGTTGCTTGCTAAAGACCTTACGTGGTCATTTCATTCTAAGAGACAGGCGGTAAGAAGATTTGGTTAATTATGTCTCTGGACGCTATATGTAGTAAAGCAACTTCTCTTACACAAAAACAGAAGAATCAAGTTCATCTGTTGTTTCTCTTAAGATAAACACTTGAACCACTCATATTAGAGATGCTAACACAGCCTAATAGTGTGTAGTCTGGGATTTAACTGATGACTTGTTTGCATAGTGAAAATCAGTTAAAGAGATGAGTCCCGTTCTCAATTTTTGTTCCTAAAAGATTCTGAGATCTCAGATTTCTCCTGAGTGGTGGTACTGATTGTACTGTGGGTGTTCGTGGTGCTGCACAATAAACAATTGAATCCTCCCCCTACAGATTCATTCCTGAAAAAATCAGCAGACTCAATGGGAGTTTGAAAATGTGCATGCCTGTGTGTATGTGTAGGAAGACAGAGAAAGATAACCAACTGGTTTTTACTGTGTGAATTTCTGTGCAGCACCTCAGCTGTGCCTGTGGTCACCCCAGTCCCTATTTATAACAGTATCACAAGGTTTACCTGAGGAAGATGTACTCCTGAAATTAAAAAATTGTTTTTATCCTGAAGTATATTGACCTTAAAGATGTATATTATGAGTGACTGTGTCTAAAGTACACTAAGAATGTGAAGAAATTGAAGCAACACTATGAACTGCAATAATTATACTCCCCGCATCTTTAAGGCACTGTAAAAGTTCAGTAGATGGAGAGGACCTGCTAGTAAAATTTTCCATCATGTTTGAGGTACACACATCTTTTTGTGTTGTCACTTCATGCAATAATTTGTACTTGGAAGGATAGATTTTCTTTTGACAATTAAAATAATGTTATTGTTTTTAGTTCTCAGTCAAAGATAATAGAGAAACTGATGTTTTAAATAGGAGATTTTAAAATGAGGCTGCACAGTTTTAGATATGAGAATGCAGTTTCAGTGGCAGCTAGGACAGATTTTCAAGTAGAAATTATGTGTGGTGGTAATGTTTTGTTTATGAAGATGGCATTTTGATCGGAGAGCACAAAGTATACTTGCTCTGTGAGCCTTTGCGAATTACAGTTGCATACTTTTATTATGGTCAAAGTATATTTTTGTTCAGGGCAGTGTTTACTGCTTGCAAATGTGTGGGCTTTGGTAAAAGGAGAAAAAAACATATTTAGAAATGTGTAACCTCTTGTATTTATTACAATACAATCTCAGAAGCAGTGGTGGGCAAGATAGTTGTTCCTCTGTGCTTTCCATGACAAAGTCATCAGGTTGTTCTGTTGCTGGTCGCTGGTTTTAGTAGCAGCATTCACCATTATATGGACGCTAAATTAGAGTATGAGCTGCAGTGGATATACTCTGCAATTGCAGCATGTTAAAAGGAATTTCTGCTAAAGGCAGCTTTGTTTTCTTTTTGTTGGGAACATGAAATATGAAAGAGATCATGATAATTTTTTTTCTTCATTTTGTGTTGTAATTAGGAGAAAATTGAAGTTACTGCTGCAAAATATGAACTGGTAATTACTAATGTTTATAGCAATGTTGAACACAGGAAATTCTGAATACAGCTTTACAAAATTTAGTGCATGTATCAAAATAAAAATGGTGCTGTTAAATTAATTTGCATTACATTCTGGCCTAACATGGAGGGAGTTCGTATCTCCTAGCAAGCTTTTTGAGCATGACTCCCAAATCATCAGTTCTTTAAAAGCCTTAAGAGAGAATATATTGTTATAGACGCCTTTGGTTCCAAGGCAGATTTTTGAATATGATCAGTTGCACCATTTTGTAGACAGTTTTATAAGGTCAGATAAGCTAAGGCAGAATTTCTGCCTGTTCCTCCCAGGCAATTCTGTGTTGTGCCCCAGGTATCGACTGAAGTGCCAGACATCAGAAGGCAGATTCCATATTCTGGGTGACAGTTTGACCTGATGGGGCAAATAACTTTCAGTCACTCATCATAAGGAAAACTCTACTGATCAATAACTTTTTAAAATTTCAGTTTATTCATTTGAAAGGAATCCTTCTGTTTTGACGGGATGCTGTAATAGCCTGGACTTCATTCATACCTCTGGCATTTAAAAGCATTTCTGACGTTAATGCCTTGTAACCATCTTTTATGAGGTGGTTCTTCAGTATAGTAGAAGTACTGCTCTATTGCACGATGAGAATAAAATCTAACTCTGCTTTACCCATATTCATAAATCTTTCTACTGCCTCAGAGTAGTCAGCAAGTGGCACCAGTACAGTACAAAACTGTGGGTTAGCACTGCAGTGCAGCTGGTGGTCTTGGATTTTCATCTGTTTGGAAGAATTTTACTTAGCCAGCCTTGCACATCTTAATGAAGATTTGTGATTATTTGTTGTAAAGAAGGGAGATTTTTTTATTTCTTCAGAGAGTGTCTGTTGTGGTCTTCCTGTAAGATGATGCATTCAAAAACAAGTTGGAGTTGTCTTCTGTCTAATGAAATTTTGCAAACTTCATTTTTTTCATCACAGAAATTTCAGTAGCATCAGCACGTTTTGCTGAAGTGTTGTTTCAGGGGAAGAAATACAATGTTCTTTCTGGTTTGTATTTTAATAGTTCACTCCCACAGAACTGTTTTCCACAACGCGATATCCCATTATTCAGTGAAGCTGCTTTTATAATGAGACTGTATTCATTTAGGGTACGGATCCTGCTTTAGTCCCTTACCCTTAGAAGAGGCAGAATGGTGACTTTTAAGAGTACTTTCCTCCAGTTTGGTTTCTGTAGACAGGAGCTAAAAACATACTTACATTGAAGGAACTCATGGTTTTTTTCAGCAGCCAAAAAACTTTTCTCCCCAGTGCCTCAGGGTTTTCTTCCAAGGTGCTGATCTTTTCCTAACATTTCCAGTTCTTCAGTTGTTCAGTGACTCTACCTTGTAAATAAGAAAAGTAAAATGGAAGACTTCCATGCCTTCTGCATATCATCAGGAGCTAACTAACTGCTCTCTTGATTTAGTTTTCTTCTTGATTACTCTAAAAATGGGCTAGTGACCTATATTCTTTCTATACTGCCTGTAATATTTCTAATAAAATTCTTTAAATTATACATTAACCAGGTGCATTTACTTGAGTAAAGCCTTGTGTGCATTTTTTTATAATTTGTTTGAAGATATAAATGAGAAAACGAAGTTTTCAGTAACTACATTTGCCTATTATCTTCCTTCCTGGAATAGTCTGCTCTTCTACAAAATTGAGTTTGGAAAAAATGAAAGTCAGATCATTGTAATACTTTTCTAGATCAAATCAATAAAAAGGGAAGATCTTGTCCATGCGTTTTTGTGTGCCTGAAGTCAGCTGGGATTTTAAGAAGATTTGAGCACCGCTCCCCTGTTGACTCAGGTGTACTTACTTACAGTTGACTAGATGTTCAAGGCAGCATTGCAGAGCACCCTGAAATGCACTGATTGTCTGGTTTTAAATCTGATCGCTTCAGCTGTGTGCATTCAAAGTGGACGTTGATCTAAGACACCTGCTTGGTAAACGTTCCTCTCTGTGTGTTTAACTGTAACTTGGCTGTTGTGAAAATACCTCCTAACACCTCAGAAGTAGTGAAACAAAGTAGCAGTTTTCTGCTCTCTGCCTTTTTTTCATTGCTATACGTTATGAAGTAGAAAGATGTGAATAATTTCATTGCTCCTTATGCAGGGTTGAGTAGTATATAACACATGAATTTATTTGAGCATTTTCTGTAGTCAGTTCAAGATTTAAAAAAATACAATATTTCCATGCATTCTGAGAATTTGGTATACTTCTCATTAGTGTAGAAACCATTAAAAGATAAATTTGCTTCACCTTCAAATCATAAAAAAAATTCCTACTGTCTCATGTACAAATACCTACCATCATGTATGGGCTGGAGGATCCATAAGTCTCCTTTGTAAATCTTGTTAGGTGATTAGATTGTCATGGGGCACCAGTGATAGGCTTATTAATGAGTTCCTGTTTTAGACATTTTCAAGTTCTCAGTGAAAATTTCAGTGAAACTGAAATGCAGTGTTTCTGCATTGTTTACCAGCCAAATATTGTATTCTCTGTGCGTGGAAATGTTCCATGAGTTTTAGGTCAAGTCTTCTTATAGTTTAATGTTTAATTGTGCTACAGAAAAACTATTCTGTATATGACTTTTTAAAGCTTAACATAATTGAAAAAGGAGCTCTGGTATCCTTTAAGTATTGTCACAGAACGAACTCCATTTGGGAAACACCTATACAAACTGTCTGTAACTATAATGCATAAAATTACCCTACTTTCAGAAGCAGGAGTTTATTGGATACCCAGCCTTAGTTTTTCCCCTCTCAGGTACGTGCATGAACCTTTGCTGTCTACCTAGAAATGTATATATGCTCACTTAGTCAGGCAGAGTTGTTACAGCTCTGAAAACAAACTCTTTGTCAGAGTTAATAAAATTATTCAGGACATTAAGAAATATCATCATGGCTTTTCATGCAAGTGTGCCTGCAACATCTGTTCTGACGTGTTGATCATATAATGTATAAAGCTGGATTGTGTGATAAAATTACTCCCTTTTTATATGTTGACATTCTTTTTCTTAAGTTGAAATGGGCTACTAAGAGAAATGGAGAGCCTTTGAAGTTGCTTTTACACAAGCAAAATATTTTTGCCTAGCTGTGTACTCATTTGACTACCATATGCAGGTCATCAGTGCAAATACAATTACTTGAGGTTGTCTTGAGTCTTGTCTGAGGAACTGTGATGTTGAGAGGGTGGATATTAAGGTGTTGGTTTTTTTCCCATTATGAGCAAGATAATTTCTTCAAGAGCTTGCTAAATGCTTATGACTGATTTGGAACTAGTTCTTTTTGCATAAGATGACAATGAGGAGTCTCCATCTC